GTTCTCATGCATTGCGTTAGAGTAAGCTTGCATATTTATTTCATTTGGCATCTCTTGTTTAAGGTTGTTATCGTTCTATTTTGTTCTCTTCTCATGGCTGTTTATTTAGAATTACAGGCCCTCGGTGAATTAGTTTCTTTGCTTAGGTTCCTAGTTCCTTTCAGCTAGTCTTATTCATGGTTAATTTTATAATAAGATGTTGGAAATTTTACATGGACTTCTACTAACTGTATTTTAATTTTTTTTTAAATGGGTTAAATAGAAAAACTGGTCAAGTTCAATAAAGTTATGTGATCCAAATGGATCTAAATTTTTTTTTTTTTCAGTTTTATATAATATGATATGAATAAGTGTAAAGTATAAAATTAAAAGATGAGCTACTTGATGGGGTGCCCTCCTCTCCTATTCAGAAAACCTAACTCTATAAATAGTAGAGTTAAAGAGCGACATAACCTATTGGTTGTCATTATACAAAAGTTGAATAGGGAGAAGAAGACTTAGCCTTTTAACTCTTTCTGTTTGTTTCTTTTGAAAGTATATAGATCAATGACTTCCAACAATAGTATGTGATTTTATTATTTAATTATTTAAGTATGATGTTTAGAATCTAATTGTGTTAAATTTATATATTGAAAATTATTACATAAGAATCTCCCTTGACATCATGTTATATCCTTGTGTCGATTGTATGTGAACAATAAGTGAAAAGATAAAACAGGATCAAAGATGGATTTTTTTTTTTAAAAAAAAACTAATTAAGATAAATAATAATGAATGAAATAGCAGGACATAAATCTTAAATAGGGAGAAGAAGATTTAGCCTTTTTAACTCTTTCTGTTTGTTTCTTTTGAAGGTATATAGATCAATGACTTTCAACAATAGCATGTGATTTTATTATTTAATTATTTAAGTATGATGTTTAGAATCTAATTGTATTAAATTTATGTATTGAAAATTATTACATAAGAATCTCCCTTTACATCATGTTATATCCTTGTGTCGGTTGTATGTGAACAATAAGTGAAAAGATAAAACAGGATCAAAGATGGATTTTTTTTTTTTAAAAAAAAAAACCTAATTAAGACAAATAATAATGAATGAAATAGCAGGACATAAATCTTGAATAGGGAGAAGAAGATTTAGCCTTTTAGCTCTTTCTGTTTGTTTCTTTTGAAGGTATATATATCAATGACTTTTTGAAGGTATATATATCAATGACTTTCAACAACAGTATGTGATTTTATTATTTAATTATTTAAGTATGATATTTAAAATCTAATTGCGTTAAATTTATGTATTGAAAATTATTATATAAGAATCTCCCTTGACATCATGTTATATCATTGTGTCGGTTGTACGTGAACAATAAGTGAAAAGATAAAACTCTTTTAAAAAAAAAAACTAATTAAGATAAATAATAATGAATGAAATAGCAGGACATAAATCATATAAGCTGGAAGAATAAACCACCATACAATAATTCACACACAAACAATAGAAATCAGTTTGAAAGAAAGCAAAATTCGTCCGCAAAGATGGATCTGACATTGTGGACGATAAAGCAGAAGCATAATTTCTTATTTTTGTCTATAAAATTTCAGAAACGAAATGAATACAGATAGACAATTCTACATGAAACTTACTTCGACCCATGGCGATCTGTGCAGAGATCGGCGGCCAAAACGCTAGGAAATGTATTGGAGAGGTAAAGAGCATGCCCTTTGCTTAATAGCTACGTTGGAAACGCTGTCAGACCCGTTGACA